TCTCTCTCTCTCTCTCTCTCTCTCTCTCTCTCTCTCTCTCTCTCTCTCTCTCTMACACACACTCACACAAACGCATAATGCTCGTCGAAGAGATSGTCGCACTACGTMGCWTACCATTGTTCAAGTGCATTGTTAGTGGGACCACCTCTTTCACGGCTCTCTCCCTCTCTCTCTCTCTCTCTCTCTCTCTCTCTATATATATATATATATATATATATATATTGGTCCCTTATTATGTGTGAAGGTTTGAAAAAAACTATGGAAGGAAAAACATATTACACACAAAACGAGCATTGAACTGAAAAAACAATAAGATGATTACCAAATATAAGCATTAAAGCTAAGACAAACTTTTGAGGTTTCATTATTAAAATTTGTGGCGGTTAAGTCTTGGAAGTTTTTGAAGCATTGTAAAGATAAACATTGTTAAACAACCCCGTTCTACGTATTGCCAAAAAACAGATATGCATAATATGTTGTATTACGTTGCAAAGATGTTCGCAAAGGAGTCAAATACAAGCAATACCACTCTGAATCCCCTATGGCTTATGCACAATATTACGCTCATTGTTCACTTCAAAACTCATCACACAGCAGCAAGTTTGTTCGTATTCTGTTACCGCGCACTCCATAAGTTTCTACTGGGATTATACAACAAGCATCTTTAGTGTTTCCCAAAATAAAAACACGTTTTCTAACCACTTGGAACACCGCTGTAAATCTACTATGGTTATTATACATATTTGTGTTTGTTGTCTGTGTCAAAACTTGTCACACCGCTCTAAACTACTAGACCATATTGTATCGTCATTCTAAATGTGAACAACTTGTGAAAATTGTATAAACGACGCTGTACATATTGTATAGCTAGTATGCAGATCTGAACTTCCTATTCAAATGAAAACTTTCCCTTCAACACCAAGTTCAACATCGAGTAGCACCACACAACCTACATTATTTTTACTGAACACAAGCATCTCCAGAGAATACTAGAATTCCTTTTGTTTTTAACTAAAATGTAAAACTTATCTAACTTGTTCCATTACACTTCGTGGGTATCTTCGCCTTTCTTCTTCCAACATTCTGTACTTTCTTCCTCTCAAAACTCAGCATCTTAGGAAAGGGAACCTTGCCGTGGAATTCGCTTGAAAATCCATCACGTCGTAAAGCAGTGAAAGTGTGCATGTCCTTCGGAAGAACTGTCACTCGATTTGCACAAGATGCGACAGTGATTGCATCCTCAAATATCTGAACCAACCAATTCTCCAAGGCTTCATGCAATATTGGGAGAGCAAGTAGTTGCATACGCACGTCTTCCTTGTCGTCTTCAGTGATCTCACGAACCAAACGATAGAATGATATTTTTTGGAACACCGAAAGATCAGTTTTCTGCAATCGTCTTATCTCTTGGAGAGCGGTCATGCCCGTAACTCTTCTCCTCTTATTGTTTTTTGTTTCAGGTTTCTTGGAAGACACTGGAGGTATCGGTCTCTCGCAACTCATAAACTCCGATGTTTGTCCACTGGTTCCCAACTTCGGCAAAATGTTCCTCAACTCGGCATTCTGCATACGAGGTGGTCGAATGCACACTAGTAGACCATTTTCATATGTCAAGTCGAAAGGAACATTTAGAGGATGATATGAAATCTGGAATCCTCAAAACTTATAGGACATACTAACGACACCCATCCGAAAAGTGCCGACTTCCTTACATTGTTGGGAAGCATTTTGTTAATGGAGTCCCCCTCCGGAGAACAATCAGAAGAGTCAGTGACTTTCCAAAAGTTATCGTCAAACAAACTATCGTATGCGCCACTAAACATTTGTCTTTGAGCCTCCGGGATTTTCTCAAAGCATTCACGTGCATGCTTTTCACATACAAGAATATCGCCTTCTGATGGATTAGACAACAAGACCTTTAAAAAAAACACCAGGAAATAAAAATGGTCCAATAACCCTCGAGGGATGCAACCAAGTGGTATTCAAAAGTTGTTGTCCCCACAAGCTTCCATCGTCCACTTGTGATTGAATTTCGCTGGATATAACTTCCCCTCAACCCAATTAACATGATATCCTCAATTTTTGTTTGCATCATCAAACCTGTTACAGTCTACGATGTTTTTTGAAACATCACAATTGATCTCATTCTCTTTAGAACGAGTGAGAGGGTCCGACGCACAATCCAGTAAGGAATTGTAACGATCTCATCTGCCCTGTGTATCAGTCATGCTGACACGAAGATCGAAAAACACATGACACTCAGGAAACTCTCTCATGACAAAATCGTTTCCCGGTTTCGAAAAATACTCATTCAAATCCTGATTTCTAACAAATTTTCTGAACAACAATTCCCCACCACTGTAGACAATCTCCCAAGTATTCCCCGCAAGATCAAATACCTTCATAACCACCTTGGGACTCTTGACAGGTATTTCAAATGACACCCACCCATATCGAGGGTCTCTTCTGAAGTCCTCAGCGGGTACTTTCTCCACCGGTGCATTTCCCAAAGTCCATTTCCCTTGCGATTGGAGTGTGTCATAAAAAAAATCATTGAGCCTCAACATTCATTTCTTATGTAAGAATTGATGAATTTGAGCAACCACACTCATCAATTCTTCCCCATATGTAACATCCGGATTCATCCGGATGACACGATCCAAAATAATGCAATATGTGAACATGAAATAAACCTTCTCTGGGATTGTGCCCAGAGACACACAACCCTCACGGCAATTAAAGGCATAGCAAAAATTGTCCTCGTTCTTCCCAGGTTGTAAGCATCCGGGCTTCAAGTTGACAACTTCATTTTGGTACGTAAATGGTCGATGCTTCTTTACATTCTTAGAAATAGGAACACAAGGAGGACAACCACATGCTTCACAAAATGGACGCACGCCTTTTGGCCGAACGGATGACCCACCAGACATCAGAAAATGTGCGATTACAGTTGGTAAAAGTCCTCCCCACCAAAATCACAATTAAAAAATTAAAAGGATGGAAAAAAAAAATATAGGATAAAACATTTCAATCATCCGAATCCTATCTATAGAGGAAAAACACGAATTCAAAGATTGAGATAGAGAGCGAGATCTAAAAAAAAAAAAAACATGAAAAAAAAAACCACATAAAAAGACAAAAAAGAAAGAAACGATGATAAATGAGATGTTCTGTTCCTTAACCTCATTGTTGCGCAACATGTACCTTCAACGCTTCTATGAGATCCGTCGTCCTATCCCGCAAGTTGATTTCGTGAGAAGTCTCTCCAAAAAAGGATGTCGAGGCCGCTGAAGTGTCAACATCTAAGAGACGATTAAAATGTTGAAGTGCATCTGCGGCTCTTCATCAGAAACGCTTTCTTGAGTTTCATCTTCGCTGCTAGGCCAACATCCTTGTAAGATACACAAATATTCTTCAATGCAAGGTGTCAAAGTCGAATTTCGACGAGGAGAAGACGCACTCGTACTGTGTTTGTTGACATGAAGACACAGTGAACACTCCGACTTATCTATTTTACATCCACACCTCATCCGTTTTTCTAAAATCTGACAATCACCTTCTTTCGGTCCTCCATCACGGCCAACGGAAGACTTCAAAACGCCTACTTTTTTCAGAGTTTTTTTTCCACACTCGATTCTCCCAATGCTTGAGATGTACATTACGCTCTTTCATTTGGTCGTTCATAAATTAAATGTCATCTCTTAACATCTCATTTTCATTCTCCAGCTTGCGAAGTGCTGTATAATAAGTATCCAAATGTTTTTTACCCTCTTCCACGAGATGGCGAACACCTTCGATAAAATATCGAAGGTCTCCCTGTGATGGCAATGAATCCTTTCCCTCTACCCATTTACCCATAACTTCGTCAACAATAGTCATCAATTGTATAAATGGTTGCCTTCCGCACCTAAATGATATCTCTGAAACTCCTTTAGAAGACATGTTCGAAATGAGGAAGGTGCACTTTCTTATATTATTTCCCTATTTAAAAACTCCTGATAAGCAAACGACAATGAAAGATTTTAAAATTATAAACAAATATTATACCGGTTTACAGTCATATAAAGTTTGAGTCCTTACAAATCGAATACCTGCAAAAATCTCGCTTTTCTACTATCATTAACAAATGTTTGCTCATCATTAAATACCGAAAGTTTAAACATGCAAATCTCAAACATGGGTCTCTCTCTCTCTGTATATATATATATATATATATATATATATCGTCACATGTATATATATATATATATACATACATATATATATACATACATATATATATACATACATATATATATATATATTATGTTTTTCTGAATTTGTTTTTGTGCATTCTCTATGACGTGAGGTACATGTCTGTAAATTTTCATGTCATTTGGCTCAGCCAAATAAGAATTAAAAATCGCCAAAGATGGCCGTGTCAAAATATGCTCGCCACATATTTGTTAACTTTTTACTTTTTGTTTTCACTTTAATTCGGGGTCTAAACAATTTTATTATTTTTTGAAACTTTTTTAGTGGGTTTTGTATTATGTGAAATACACATCTCTAAATTTTCAGGTCACTTAGCTATGCCAAAAAAAAATAAAAAATCGCCAAAGATGGCGGTGTCCAAAACATGCTCGCGCACTCACTAAAT